GCCCTCAAGAACTCAAAATTACTTAACCCTGTGGGAGATCTGGTGAAGGAATCTGAGGACCTTGTCTGCATCCTAATTCCAGTTCACCAACTGTAAAAAAAAAAAATAGTTTTCCGGGGCGCCTGGGTGGCTCAGTGGTTAAAGCCTCTGCCTTCGGCTCAGGTCATGATCTCAGGGTCCTGGGATCGAGTACCCCATCGAGCTCTCTGCTCAGCAGGGAGCCTGCCTCCTCCTCCTGTCTCTCTCTGCCTGCCTCTTCTCTGCCTACTTGTGATCTGTCAAATAAATAAAAAAAAAAATCTTTAAAAAAATAGTTTTCCTTTCTTTTCAAGATTTAATATTTAAAAAAATATATGAGAGTGAGTCTGCCCACACAGGTTGGGGGAGGGGCAGGAGAGACTCTTCAAACAGACTCCCGGCTGCGCAGGAACCCATGGTGTTTTCATCCCACAGCCCTGAGATCATGACCTGAGCCCAAACCAAGGGTCAGAGGCTTAAGCAAGTGAGCCACCTCTAAGATTTTATTTTTAAATAATCTCTATAATGTAGTTTTGGAATACTGGTGAGGTCCAGAGTCAAGGGCCAGGAAAGAATTCTTGAGACGTCTTTGGTGCAAAAAGGTGATTTTATTAAAGCATGAGGATGGACTCAAGGGCAGAAAGTACATAAAGTACTAGGGCTGCTGCTGCCCCAGGATTGTGAACAGCAACTGATGACCTACTTTGAGGCTGAGGGAGATCGAGCTCCGGGGAGTTCCAAAAGGATTTTCATATGCTAAAGAAGAATCTCTGGAAACCTGAGACCTTGCTATTGTCAAACTAAGGTTGCTTTTCATCTAGCAAGGCATTGACATTAAGAGGTGGGAGCTTCCTGGAGGAACTTTATACTCTGCCTGCCTCAAGTATCTGTCAATGGGCTGCAGCTTTTAAGGACACTTTTTTTTTTTTATTTTATTTATTTATTTTACAGAGATCACAAGTAGGTAGTGGGGGTTGGAGGGAAGCAGGTTCCCTGCCGAGCAGAGAGCCCCATTCCAGGCTTGATCCCAGGACCTTGGGATCATGACCTGAGCCAAAGGCAGAGGCTTAACCCACTAAGCCACCCAGGTGCCCCAAGGACACTTAATCTTATCTACAGTTCCTTCTGCCTTTGTATCCCCTACATCTACACTGAATGTGGGGCTCCAACTCACAACCCTAAGATCTAGTGGGTTTGCTCCACAGACGGAGCCAGCCAGGCTCCCCTAAAAAAATCCATTTTGAGACATTTTGAAACGTGACTATGGGCTGGGTATTGGATGATATGCAACAGATTTGTTAACGTTTTCCGGGTGGGATAATAATGTAGTTACGTAAGAAAAATGTTCGTTATTTTTTAGAGATGAACTATGGAAGGGTGAAATGGTGTGATGTCTGTGTCTGGAATCTGCTTTTTTTTTTTTGAAGATTTTATTTATTTATTTGACAGAGATCACAAGTAGGCAGAGAGGCAGGCAGAGAGAGAGAAGCAGGCTCCCTGCTAAGCAGAAAGCTAGATGCAGGGCTCGATCCCAGGGCCCTGAGATCATAACCTGAGCTGAAGGCTGAGGCTTTTTGTTTTTAAAGATTTTATTTATTTGACACAGAGAGAGATCAGAAGTAGGCAGAGAGGCAGGCAGAGAGAGAGGAGGAAGCAGGCTCCCTGAGGAGCAGAGAGCCTGATGCGGGGCTCGATCCCAGGACCCTGGGATCATGACCTGAGCCGAAGGCAGAGGCTTTAACCCACTGAGCCACCCAGGCGCCCCTGGAATCTGCTTTTTAAGACTTTGTAAAGGGGAGAGTAGGAAGACAAAGGGGAGCAAGATCCTGATAATCCTCTCGGTGATGGGAATAAAGGGACAAGGTACCATTTGCTCTACTCTTTGTGACAGAAATATTTTGTAATATATTTCTGGAAACTGAATGTAACAAGAGCTTGAAAGCTTTGCTTCTGTCCTTTTCTGGCCCATGCCTTACCAGGCCTTATCTGTAGTGGTCAGATGAGCATTTCCTTCCACAAAGCTCTGCTCTAAATAATTTGCCTTAAGTCTGAGGCAGACAAGAACAAATCAGTTTTTGAAAGGCACTGGGCACTGTTTCCAGCCGGCTGAAACTCACAAACTTTAATAGCTGTGACAGACTACAGAAGAGGAAAAACAAATTCTTGGGGCCTGGGATATGGAGATATCCAGGGCCACTTGCCTCTGGAATCAGGGTTAAAAAGGGCAAATTCCAGTTTTATTCCACATGTAGAGGAAATGAGGCTGTTTCTCCAAATCTTTTTTTTTTTTTTTTTTTTTTTGCCCCAAAAGAACATTCTAATTGATGAGGGAAGAGAAGGCAAGCTGTGGAAGCAGCAGAAGCTGACACCCAACAACTTCCCTCTCCCCCAGATGGGATTTACGTGACATTTCTCAGGCACTCCTGACTACCCTAAAGCTGAGGAAAGGAAAAACAAATAGTTAACTTATACCCTGCAAGACAGGAGTCTCCCTCAATTTACAAATGTCTTAGCATTTTATAAGATAGCATTTCTATCAATAACCTACCTTCCAGAAGGAAATGTAGATAAAATTAAATGTCCTTATAGCCTGTAGCCCATTGACAGATACTTCAAATAGGAAAAGTGTAACGTTCCTCCAGAGAGCTCCCAACTATCTCATTGTTAATGCCAGTTTAGAAGGAAAAACAACCTTGACAATGGCAAGGCCTCTGGTATGCTGTGAGTCTACTTTAATATATGAAAATCCTTTTGAGACCTCCCTTTTCCTTACCTCCCCCAACCCCATAGAATATAATCTGCCACCCCTTATATCCCAGGGCAGCAGCTCTTTCTGCCCATAGGTCCTGTCCCTGTGCTTTAATAACCCCATTTTGCACCAAAGACATCTCAAGAATTCTTTCTTGGTCATCGGCTCAGGACCCTACCCCACTGAACCATACCTGTATTCTAAGACCACATCGTAATGAACACAATCGGTGACCCTTGTGACTGAAATTCACCAGTCAAGTATAAAGTGAGCAAACTGGAGTGAATTCTATACCTCTGGGTCTCCTCTCTGCCCCAACCTGCCAAGGACCCAGTTCTTAGGAGGCAGCTACTACAACCATGGTGACTGGCCTTCCCTCCATTCCCAAACCAGCACACATTTCCAGTCTTACCTGATCTCCTACTTTCCTTGGCACAGGGCCTCACACACACAGATCATCAAGGCCCAGGGGGATTCTGTGCTTAGGATCCTATCTGTCCTCTCCTATACTGCTCTATTTTGAATAGGACACTTTAACCTAAACCCTAAAGTGTAAACTTAAACTTACAATTAAACTTAGTGTGTGTGCTCCCAAAGAGTATGCTGGGAGTCCTAACCCCCCCACCTTAGTGCCTAAGAATGTGACCTTATTTGGAAATAGGGTACATCTTTGTAGATGAAATCAGGTTAAGACATTCTAGAGGAGGGTGGGCTGTAATCCAATTACCGATGTCCTTGAAATTTGGACACAGAGACAGACACACAGGTGGCTTTGTGGAGACAGAGAGAGCCAGGTTGGAATGATGAGTGCCAAGAATTGCCAGCAACCACCAGAATCCTGGAGAGACCAGAGCTATCCTCCCCTATAGCCTTCAGAGAACATACGTCCCTGCTAACACTTTGATTTCAGACCCATAGACTCCAGAACAGAGAATACATTTCTGCTAGAAGCTACCTAATTTGTGGGAATTTGTTGTGGCAGCCCTAGGAAACTAAGCCAGGGTACCAGAAACATCTGCTCCTTTTACCCTCACCATTAGTATGCCCACTTTCCAGGAACAATTGCAACTATGTCTAAATAAGTAGAGAACCAGGCTTTCCTTCTAGAACCACCTAGATCACAGCCCATATTCTTAACCCGGAGACCAAAATTCCCCTTCCTGCTGTTTGGATAATGTAATGGCTCTTTCCTAAGTTTGAAAGTTGACAGAAACACCTGGGAACCCCCGAGTGTGGGTATAATAAACAAAACAATAACAAGTGTTGAGGAAGATGTGGGGAAACCTGAACCCTTCTGCACTGTGGGTGTGGGAATGTAGAATGGTACGGAGTCTGGTCGTTTCTCAAATGGTTCGACAGTTACCATGTGATCTGGTAGCTCCACTCCTGGGCATCTATTTACGCAAGAGAAATGAAAACATAGGTCCACACAAACACCAGCACAGGAACATTCAAAGTGGCATTATTCATAAGAGCCCCTGAGTGGAAACCATTCAAATAATCAACTGATGAATGGATAAATAAAATCTCATATGGACACACAGTATTATTTGGCCATAAACAAAACAAAAAAAAAAATTGGTGTTGAACATGCCATGTGGAGAAACCTCAGAAACATTATGCTAAGTGAAAGAAGCCAGATACAAGAGGCTACAAATTGTATGACTACATGAAGTGTACAGTAAAGGCAGATTATAGACAGAAAGCAGATCGATGGTTGCCAAGAGTTGGGACTCAGAATGAGGATTAATTGTAAATCTGAGATCTTCTTGGGGGATTAATGTGCCCTAAAACTGGTTCATAGTGATGGTTGCCTCACCCAGTAAGTTACTAAAAATCACTGAATGGCTTATTTGAAATGAGTGAATTGTACAATGTGTGAAATAAAGCTGTCTGAAAAAATATTTAGGGGCACCTGGGTGGCTCAGTCATTAGGCATCTGCCTTCAGCTCAGGTCACGATCCCAAGGTCCTGGGATGAGCCTCACATCGGGCTCCCTGCTCAGCAGGCAGCGTGCTTCTCCCTCTCCCACTCCCCCTGCTTATGCTCTCTCTCTCGCTGTGTCTCTGCCTGTCAAAAAAATAAATAAAATCTTTTAAAAAAATAAATAAATACATAACAAAATAAAATAAATGTTTAGAGTTTAGGACTTATATGGGTCAAGAGCCAGCCACCTCAGACAACTGGGTTATTTTAGAACACAGGAAGGACACTATTTAGGTTTTCCAAACAGTTTCCAATGATAAAGTGCTTCACTTTATTTATGCGAACATTAGCTGCAGAAAAATGCCAGAACAATTTAGAATTGAAACAGTGCAGAGGCCAAGACCAAAATTCGTTATCTGGACACTTCAGGCTAAGAAGCCACTCTCCCCACTTCTTCAGAGCCTCTGAGAAGGTGATTAGTGACCAATTAAGTAATGACATCTTTTCTTCCTCATCCCACCAGCATTCCAGACACAGACAAAAGCCTGATAACAAGAACCCCTCTCTCCACAGACCCGGCTTCCCCGCTGCTGGAGCTCTTCACAGTCACAGCTCCTCTGGCCGTGCAATGCCTTGCCCAAGAACAGATCCAAACAGGCAGCCTGGCATACGTTGGGTGGCTGAAGCAGAGCCACCTGACAGAGCTCTTTCCAGAAAGGCCTTTTCGAGTAACCTGGCAACAGGGGCAAGCCCTTCTCTGAACTTCCCAGTGTGCTGTCGGCATCAGTAACTCCTCTTCTGGGATATTCTGAAGGCTTGAGTCAGGCCCACCTATTTTCTACTGAAACTGGGTAACAGAAGGGGACACATCTGACTGGCTTTCCAGATTAGACTTCATCTTACTCCAGGCCAGTGAGACGAAGCAGCCCCCGGTAAGAGCCAGGGAGGGCAACATAGCCCGTCTTTACCCAGTCCCTCTCAGTCAGGACTTCAGGCCCATCTTGGCCATCATCTCCTCATACACGGTCCACGCCATCGCTGCCATCAGAGCTCTGCGGAGGGCCCTCGGGACGCTGCCTTGGAAGAAGCCACGGAGACCATAATCCTACGAGGAAAACGAACGTCAGCATTCCGGAAGCAGAGCAGCAACATGAGGAACACACCTAGTGTGAGACTGAGGGTCCCTGTTACCCCATTGGTGAGCCTCAGTTTTAGGATTTTCATTGATAATGCCAAAACTATGAATAATGGATCCAAGGAGACGATGAACTAAAAAAAAATTTTTTTTTGCATAATTTTTGCTAAACTTTCTCTTTTTAGGCTTGCTTTATGCAAGAGAATTTATTTCTCAGCTGCAAATCTTTCTACAGGGTGGCTGTATACAGCTGGATAGCTTGTGCAGCTCCCATACGCACCAAGCCCCAACTAGCAAGCGAGATCCAAGCCATGGTCTGCATGCCAAGCCCTGGGACCTGGCTTCAGGCTGGAGGAAAACATGTCTTTTTGGCAATCTGTCTGTCTGGAGGGAGCATTTTTGCATAACTCACTGTATGCTCTTGACATTCCTACATAAGCATTAAAGACGAAACACCTCCTCCTCATAATCTGGACGGATTCATTTCTATCATTATCATTCCTGCCATTTTATACATACTGAAGAATATTATTCTCAAAGTTTAGGCTTTTAGGTATAGAGAATAAAAGAGCAGGCAACCCAAGCAGGGTGAGGAATATGATCCGATTGACAAATATTTGTCTACATCTAGGGCGAGACAGATACAGGATGCCTATGCTCACATTCTTTCCTCTGCTACACAGAAAAAATGAGACGTACAGAAAAACATAAAAACTTAGCTTGAGCAAGAATATTTGGTGTGTGGTAACAGTACATGCTGCCAAAGGACCAACTCTGTGGCTTTTAAATGGTGCTTCAGAAAGTGTACCTTATGTCTCCTATACTTTTTATCTTCAACAATACCTTTTGTCCATTTGTGTTAGAGCAAATTCCTAGAGACCAAATGATGTATTTGTCATTTCTTTGTTTTGTTTTTTTTTTTAAGATTGTATTTATTTATTTGACAGAGAGAGACACAGTGAGAGAGGGAACACAAACAGGGGGAGTGGAAGAGGGAGAAGCAGGCTTCCCGCTGAGCAAGGAGCCTCATGCAGGGCTCAATCCCAGGATCCTGGAATCATGACCTGAACTCAAGGCAGACGCCCAACGACTGAGCCACCCAGGTGTCCCTGTCATCTTTTTCTGACTTGAATTCCCTCCTAGGTCCTTGATCATCAGGGGATGAGGCCCTCCCAGATTCCCTGACCTGGTGGGCGGGGGTGGAGTCCAGAAATCTGCCAACTTTAACTATCATCACAGGTCTCCTAAGGTAGTCAGTTTCCCCCACCCACCACCAACCCCCCCCCCAAAAAAAAAAAAAAACCCAACCCACAGCCAACCTAGGTTTTTAGCAGTGATTCTCAACCTTTGCAACACTCTGGAATTGCTGGGGAACTTAGCTACTGATCTGGGCTTCACCCACCTTCAGAGATTCAGATGGAAGCAGCCCAGGTTGTGACCTGGGGGTGGGGACTTTTTAAAGCACCCCAGCTGATTTTAATATGTAAAGGACACCGGCTTCCATTCGAGAGAGAGAGAGAGAGAGAGAGAGAGAGAGAGAGAGAGAGCAAGCCTTAACCACAGTAAGAAGCAATATTTACTCCGTAGCCTTACTTTAAAAATGAGTGTCACTGCCTGGCCAATCCACCGAAATTTCACTGGGGAGAGCTGCATGTGGGTTTTGATAACATCCGCAGGCTGAGTCACCAGGGAGGCCAGAATGCCAGCAAAGATCCCACAGCTGAAATTTACAGCGGGAATAAGGACTCCATCCAACTGGTCTGAAACATGACAAAAGCAACATTCAGTTACAAATGACTCTCACATAAATATCAATACCAAGTTGCCCACGAATTCTTCCCCAAATTCAGAAGGGTCTAGATTCAAAATGGGGTTAAGAAGTAAACATTTAAAGGTATAACTAAATGTAGATGGGAGTCATGGAATTAAAATTTGCCCTTTTTTACAACCATCGCCATCATAATTGATTTGGGCAAGAATCACAGACTGAGGCTCAAACACTGGGGTGAAAGGAACAGAATGTTTTATGTAGATTTATGCAGATTCAAAGTATCCCCCCCCCGCCCCCTCCAGTGCCCACAGATGCTTCCAAATTACAAAAGAAAAAATGAGTTTTCAGTGGAGACGCCATCTTGTCCGAGAGATAAAAGAGACAGATTATATGAGAATATCTTTGTTGTTAGGAAACACAATTGGAGGTATTTAAGGGTAAAGGGGCATCACTCCTGCAACTTTAATCTTAACTTTTGCCTAATCTCAACCTTTGCAATCGTAAATGGATTGCAAAAAACAATTATACATAAAGAGAAGTAAAAAATGTACACCAAGCTCCCTTACTGCCCTAACTTTCTGAGCCACATAAGGCTGTGACCTGCAGTGTCACGCCTCCTGGTGCCTACAGGAGAGAATCGAACTCCTAAAGCACTCCAACTCCACTGATTACCATTGTCATGATGGGGGCATGCCGGTTTTCCCACTTTACAGACCTGGGTTGCATTTCCTTGCTCAAGTTCTCTGGAGACACCGTATGGAATGCAGGTTCATTCCACAGGACGTGCTTCTATCAGAACCTGGCCGTGCTTGGGTGTATGCTCACAGCATACCGAGTGTGCCCGTTGTGACCAACAAGAGCTTCCTGGCAGCGTGGGTCTGCCAGAATGCCTGAGGTCAGGCACCTTGCTCTCCAGAGGGCTCAAATCCACTTTACCTGGGAACACGGCAAGGGGAGGTGCTAACCCCACTAACCTCACCAAACTTTTCTGATAAGAATCAGATCACGTGCTTCTTGAGAAATACCGGCTCCCAGGTCTTACCCCAAAGTTCCTGATGTAGGAGGCCCTCATGCAGGGCCCAGCAATCTAAAGATAGGGCAAATCTGCCAGGTATCACTGCAGGATTTCTGTAAAACATGCTTTATCCCCCCCACCCACTCAAGAACGACAGTACTACCAGTACTCTGCCGTAATAGTCCATAAATTCATACAGGCAGGGGGCCAAGTCTTTCATGACCACCACTGGGTCCTAGCATCTGGCCCCATGCTTGACGTGAGGCAGAAATGGCTCCGTTCCTAAAACTCTGCTAAGAACAATAAACAGTCTCCAATCGCAGAGAAAGCTGCGAAGATATGAGGTCTTGGAGATATCTCTCCCCTCCCCCACCACACCTTCCTTCGTCCATACCATGGGTCATGATGTTTTTGGTCTGGTTGTAGAACATCAGGTAGATTCCAGAAAAGGGTGCGTCACGAAGGAGTGTTGCCGTCAAGCCGCTGAAAAGTCCCCGGTGCCCCTCAGTGCGATAGATGCTCCTCAGGGCTGCACAGATGCTCTCATAGCCATACTTCCCACTCTGCAAGGAAGCACAGGATCAGTGGCTGGTGCGGTAGCCCTGGGTTTGAGCAACGAACCCACCTGACTTCGGGGTACATGACAATGCCAGGCTTTTATTCTCTGACCACAGTGGCCTCGATTTTAGATTCTAAATCTGGAGCTGACATCGGTGACCACTTGACGAAAGCCCAATGCCTCTGTTTATCCACCCCGAAGGCTGAAAGCAGTTGGACTCACCTCGTAACGTGTCTTCACCACAGTGATGGGTGACATGCAGAGTCCTGCAACCGAGCGAGAGCCCACTCCCAGGATGACTGACTCCAGCGCTGTGGGGGGATGGCCTCGCAGGAAGTACTGCTTCAAGGAGTAGAGAGTGCCAAAGTAGATGCCAATGCCAGGGACACACCTCACAATGGACTGTGCAACAGGGCAGAGGGAGGAAAGCAAGCCCAGATGGACACTGTGAGATACTGTCCTAGTTGGGTTTTCCCAAAAGACGGAGATTTGCATGCAAGTAGTTGATTGAAGGTATGTAGGGAACAGCAATAAGAGAATGGGGAAGTGAGGAGAGAAGGCAGCCATGAAGGGCAGGCTGCCTGATGCATTACTGCCCTGGTAAACGTAATCTCTTTGGGGGGAACTCTGGGAATCGGTGTAGGCACCTCAGAGTTCACCCTCCAGTTGAGGAGGGTGAGTGAGGTTTTTAAACATCAACTATCATCTTCCACTGGGCTGGGGTGGGCATTTGTGCCCTGGTACTCCCAGCAAATTTACCTGCAGGTAAAGAAATGCAGATGTGGCCTGCTTGTACGAAGGGCAAGGAAAGGGTATGCTGGCAGCTGAGGGCACTCACTGCATCTACTCTAGACCTGCTACTGCTCCAACAAGCTGTATCTAGGGCATAAAGATATTTCCCCAGCCCTCTGATAGGAGCGAGCAGCATCATGTGACAGGGAGAAGACCACACAAGTCCTCCCACTGCTTCTGGCGCTGACCTATCCTTCCAAGAGGGGATATGGAAGGTGCATGACAAAGAGATAGCTATGACAGCAGAGGGTGCAAGAGAAGACCCAAAAGGCAGCTTACAGGGGACATCCCTTTCCAAAGGCCCAGAATACTCTCCGTGCGAACCACCTTCAAGAGCAGAGCCAGCATCCCAACACGACCAGATCTAAAGGCAGACAAAATGGAGGTAGGGAAGAAAAAAAAAATCACTTAGACCTCGTCCTCATAAAAGAACTTCCCATCCAAAGACTTCTTGGTATGACTTCTTCGCTAAGAGCACTCAAGAATCTCTACAACACATCTTGGAATAACTCTTTGGGGGGTTATTCATGATTTGGCACATACGTGTTTATCTGTTGATTCACACCTCAAGCAACGGGATGACCTCCCATGTTACACGCATTTGGTATACTTCCCACAGTGCTGAGCCCAATGTCAGGCACAGAAGAGACACTTAATGCATACATTATTTCCAGAAAACCACCCACACTACTCGTACCGGACAGCACAGTTACAACACTACAGGCTAGCACAATAAAATGCAAATGTCACCAAGGCAGATCACAGGATGATGCCCCCAGGGAAGGACCCCATTTCATTAACAGGAAATGTCAAATCAAAGTTGGGCATGGCCCATGTTTCTCCTGAAGCATCCAACACAATGGCAGTTGACTTAACAGTTGAGATGTTCCTGTGTCTGAGAGGAGTTGTTGGAACCATTCCTCAGAGAAATGGTGAGGGGGGCACGCAGCAGGCCTTACCCATGGTCTGAGGGCTGGAGAGTCTGCAGGCGCGTTTTGAGGAGATCCAGGGGTTGGAAAAGGAGGGTGGAGCAGGTCCCACTGATGGAGCCACACAGGAAAGCCTTGATCACCGGATGTAACTTCAGGGCAAGAGAACACTGAGTCAGCAACTTTGCGGCCGCCAAGTTTTCTCATCTTTCTTCACACTGGGACCATTTTTTTCCCTCTATTTGGTTAGCTTAGAAAACCACCTGCTGGTGCCCTGTATTATCTTCCCACTTCAGAGAAGGTTAAAGTGAACCTGGGAATTAACAGCACTGGAATGCCATGGAGAACATAATACCCGGCTAGAGGGGATCTCTCTGGCCTCAGTACTAAGAATGAGCAATCCACCTCTGTCTACCTGTGAATTAGGCCGCCAACCACACCTCCCTCTCTGTCCTGAGGGTAAAAGTTTTGGGCCATCTCTTATCTTCACAGAAGCAAAATCAACTGAACCTAGTGTGTGAACTGTTGGCTGCCAAGCTCTCTTGGTTATAGGACCTGTAGATATTTACAGGAGGGAGACATAGGAAGTGAAACCATAAGCTCAGTTTCAACGTAAAACATGGACCACTTCCTGTAAAATCTATGAACTTCCTTAATTTAAAAGCTTTCCCTTTCTCTTCTACCCACACATCTCACTAGGACCTAAGCAGATTGCAGATGTGGGTAGACCAGCAGCCACCCCTTACCCCTGGGTCTGCTGGCTCTCCCTTAAACCAGGACAGTCGCCTGACAGGAAGGACACCCTGGCTAATCTAGCGGCACCACCCAGAAGGGCAAAGCCTAAATGTACCTCCTTGAACCCACTAGGCTAGAGGCCTCACGGCTAGCCTCAGAAACACTCGATCATGAATGGTTGTGAAAAGCCACGTTTAAAAATCCAACCAGGAAATGAAAACACTCTTCTCCAAACAAGAGACTTGGCAAACGCCATCCAAAAAGATCTTCTCTCCTCATTAAATGGCACTCGCACTATTATTCGTGAATGCACGGACAACTGTAGTCCTAAGACACTGAAAATGAAGTTGCCAGTTATACCCGTACAGCCACCAACCCAGAGCTAAAATGTTTATAACTTGTGGTTTTTTTGTTTCACAGGGAAGAGAGATCACTCCACATTTCTACCAAATGAGCAAGTTTCAAATTACAACTGGAACCACTTGAAAGACTAAAAAAATTCACATAATAAAAATTGGAGGTCCTAACTCTGTTCAAATGGCTTATAAAGTACCTAGGGGTGACAAAAGTGATAACACAACACATACAACCAAGCAAAATGTATCTACCTTGCCAGTCTGTCAGCATGCCATTCCCAGTCCCCCAAAGGGGTTGGGAGAGTGGGGATATGCTAAGCCATACTCCTGGAGTCTGTGCTTCTTGGTCTCATCCTTCCACTGGCATCTTCTGGAAGCTAGCTTCAAAGCCCCTGTCTTTCCAGTCTGATGCCACATCACCTCCACTCCCTCTGGGCTAGTCACCCCTCAGCCCCCACCACTTGCCATCCAGCTAAAGCTGCCCGTTCTGCTCACCAAGGACCTGCCCATCCCAGGAGCCCTTTCCTGCCCTAGGCCTTCTCTTACTTGGCTGGTCCGGTGCATTTCAAACAGCTGGCCACCTCTTGGTTTTGGGCTCCTTTTGAGTCTGCTCCTTTCTCTTAGCCTCAGATGTTTTTCTTCTTATCTCCTCCAGCCACAGCCCCTCAGGGCCACCTCACCCACAGTGCAGGGCACCACACTGTACCACACCCACAGCCAGTTCAGCCCAGCACCCCCGTCCCTGAGAGGCCCCCAGAAAGCTCCCACTCACACTCCAAAATAGAAACCCGGTGATTAATTCACACTCCTGCTGCTACCCCACTCAACAAGATATTCCAGTAGCAAGTTTGGGAGACACATAAGACTCCTCACTGTACCTACTGCTTCATGACCCAGTTGTACCAATGACCCCTCAGTGTTGCCGGAGTCGGCCCACACCCATCTGTTCCAGTAGCCTCCTTGGCAGCCTCCAGCCTCTACCCTACTAATCCACCTTCCTGAGCTCCTGGAACAGCACTGGGTAAGGCATCTATGTACACCACCTCAAGATCTCACCGCACTCTTGAAATGTGTCCTGCGTCCCAGGTTTGAGGCCATTGGCCAGACCTACAACAGGGTAATCTCCCCAGGCTCCCTTCAGCCCTTTGCTCCTGCTCTGGTAAGGTTGCGGGCATGACCTGTAGTTACAGCTTCTGTGCAGTCCTCTGTGCTGCTTCCCCAACACTCTCACAGATATTGCAGGGAATTCGTTTTAAGGCTGTGGTCCTTCACACACATGCTCCAACACATTCAACCCTTCCTCATTGCAGGAACTATTTTAGGTCTTTATTTTCACAGTGCAATGCTTGGACATATTATTAGTTTAATAAATATTTGTTGAATAAATGCCTAGAGCCTGTAACTTTTGTAATTTTGTAATTTTCTTGGTCGATGAGCACAGAGTAGATGCTAAATATATACCAGCTGGACAGACTAACCTCTACTACTTAAAAAAGAAAGAAAGCATGAAAGAAAGAAAGAAAGAAAGAAAGAAAGAAAGAAAACCCGACACACAGCAGGTAATATCGTTAAAAAAAAAAACAACAGAATTTACACTTTTCATTTTGAAGTTTTAAGATGTTGTCACATGGAACATCCTTTGTAGGCATGTTTGATTTTTTTCTAAATAGCCCGAAGTTAGATAAGTAACAATTTGTTTTGAGGGAGGAGGGCAAAAACAACCGAATAATACACAGTATACAAAGGCAGTAAATAGTACTGAAATAGATAGTAATTTCTACAAGCAATTTTTTTTTTTTTTAAAGATTTGTTTAACAGAGAGAGACACAGCAAGAGAGGGAACACAAGCAGGGGGAGAGGGAGCGGGAGGAGCAGGCTTCCCTCTGAGCAGAGAGCCCGATGGGGGCCTGGATCCCAGGACTCTGGGATCATGACCTGAGCCGAAGGCAGACGCTTAACGACTGAGCCACCCAGGAGCCCCTCCATAAGCAATTCTTAATTTCCTTGAGAAAACTAAATCCAATCAAGTCTCCAGGCCAGAGCTGGAGGACCCAGAAAGAGAAATAGGTAAGTACGCTTTCAAAGATGGAAAGTAGAGCCGCAGCCGCTGCCTTTTTAAAGGATTAAAAAAACCACCCCGATTCACCGCGCCGCCCATGCTGGCGGAGGGGACCTCGAAGAGAAGGAGAGTGGCTGCGCTCCGCGGCCTATGTCTTGCGTTTGCCGCCTCCACCCACCCGCAGCCGCTCAGCCAGACCGCCCTCCGGGACCCGCCTGCCCAGCCCCGCCTCCGCCTCCACCAATGGAGACCCGGCGGCACGACCGTCGCAGCCAATCCGGAATCAGGGGCGTGGCCTCGGCCCCCTACTGCCCCTCCCCCCATTCTTCGCAGGCTAGAAGGTGGAGACCTAGAAGCAGTCCTCTCTGCCCGCCCGGGGGGCCCAGTGCGGTCCCGACTCACCTCCCTCGGGCACCCACCTCTTCTCCGGTCTGGGGCTACTACGGGGCTTTGCGGTGGTCCAGATACCTGCCCAAGCGTCCTTCCACCTCTGTCGCTCTAGGCATCCAACTTAAAGCTACGTCCGGAGGCGCTCGCACGCGGCTCGTGGTCGCACCGGCACACTCCCCGACACTCCCAAGGCCCGGGCAATTCCGCCACCCTACCCGGACGCAAACGCAGCAGACAGACCGTCGCCTGTCTGTCCAAGGGGGCTGCAACTCCTCTCCTCCCTCGCCCTTCTCTTTTCAATCCATCCCTCTCCCGCCACGTCCCCAACCTATTCGGCGCACACCCAGGGAGCGGAAAAGGCTCCCAGAGAGCCGCCGAGCCTTGGCTACCTCCCGAATTTCCCTCCACGAGCCGGCGGTTTCGGAACCCCTGTGTCCCTTCCCCGCAGTTTACCATAAGCGTCTCCACCTTGTCTCCAACATCCTGAGGCTGCAGCAGCGCCGGCCGTGACTTCTGAAACATTGGAGAGGAGGCCGGGCTCTGGGTGCGTTAGTGGGAGCTCGGGCCCAGCGCTGGCGATCTCGCGGGAGAAGGCGACGCGGCAGCAGCGGCCCGGCGACGCGCTCGCAGGCGGGGGCTCTGCAGTCCGCGCCCTCGGACGCCGGGTCTGCGCGCCTACCGCCCCTGCGTGGCTCCGCGTGGCCCACCGGGACCTGCTCACAGCTCTTCACTCGCCTTGCACACCCCGCCGCTCTGCTCTCCCGCCCATCCTGCCCGGCTGCACGCTTTTGGGCCCCAGATCGTGAAGGGTGTATCCGGAGGAGGAGAAAGCCGGAGGAACCGCGCGCAACCTTGGGATTTCGCTTCCGGGGTTGGGCACTCCTCGCTGGTGAGGGTGTTCTCTTTAGTGCCACCTGGTGAACATGTCCAGAATTGCAGGGCCCGCTGTTGCCCCTCTCCTGGAGCTTGGAGGCCTGCCTCAGGCTGCAAGGTCTGGTGCAAGGTGTGAACGTGTCTGCGATCTAGACATGCTCTGCGGGGTACGTAGCCCGTAGCTATCCGTGCCTGTTGAACTTCAAATGTGGCTCATATGCCTGACGTCCAGAAATTTAAATTGTATTTAATTTAGGTAATTTGTATGAAAAATGGAAGCAGTGTGGAATATTTTTCTGTTCAACAACTTTATTAACAGACCCACATTTCCCTTTGAGCGCTTAAAATTTAGCGAAGGAATTGGCATGTGTTCTTAAGTTATCCATACACCTCATTTCTTTTCTGTTCCTTCTCTCCCTCTCTCTTTTTTTTTTTTTTTTTTTTGAGAGAGCGTGTACAAGTGCGGGGAGGGGGGATGGCAGTGATGCAGAGGAAGAGGGGGAGAGGGAATCTTCAGCGGGTGTTCGGGGCTCTATCTCACCACAGGAGATTATGACCTCAGTGGACATCGAGAATCCCAGGCTTACCCAACTGAGCCACCCAGGCACCCCCATGCACCGCATTTCTAAGACTTACAGCAATCTAGTAAAATAACTTATTAATAATTGTTATTACATGTTGAAGTGATGTTTTAGATATTTTGGGTGAAATATATTATTAAAATTAATTTCACCTATTTTTTTTAAGATTCTATTTATTTGAGAAAGAGAGAGAACAGAGGGAGAGTGGGAGGGAGAAGCAATCCCCTGTGAGCAGAGAGCCAGTGGTAGGACTGGATCCCAAGACCCTGAGATCATGACCTGAGCTGAAATCCGACACTTAACCAACTTAGCCATCCAGGCGCCCCTTTTTCCTTTGTCTTCAATATGGCGACTGGATTATTAAAAATTACACGTGGCTCACTACGTATCTATTAGACCACATTGGTCTAGATGTTTAAGATTATGGTTTATCTCTCATCCGGGCTCTGGGATTAACATTTATGGTCTCCCAGCTTCCCATTACTCCTGTCTGGCGGAGCTGTGGAAAAGTATCACTGCTGGGATCCTGACAAACCTGTTGAAAAACGCAGGGACACACCTTCAATGTCCCTGGTTATCTGTAGAAGAAAGCGCAAACTTCTCATGGTGACAGGCTTCACTACTTTCCTGTATCCGGTCTCCACCAGGGAAATCTAGGTCAGGGATAATTTAGGAAGTAAGATGCTGTTTTTTAAGACTTTGTTCCCATGCTATTGAAGCACAAGGAACAGGCAAGAAAGTGTTTTTTTGTCCCCAGAAGGGATCAAGCAAAGCACAAACATTAAGAAATACATATACAAATCTGTCTGGTGGTTGTTTAATACTTTGCTACCCCTTGTTCTAAGCTTGAGGCTCATTTTCTTTGTGCAGTTGTAGATGACTAAGCTAAAATTTATTTTTATTTTTATTTTTTTAAAGATTTTATTTATTTATTTGACAGAGAGAGGTCACAAGCAGGCAGGGGGCGGGGGAGCAGGCTCCCTGCTGAGCAGAGAGCCCAACACAGGGCTTGATCCCGGGGCTTAATGGGGGGCGGTTGATCCCAGGGCCCCCAAGATCACTGACCAAACTGAAGGCAGAGGCTTAACCCACTGAGCCATCCAGGCACCCCTAAAACTTCTTTTTAAAGGAATAGCTACATTTTCTCCATAGGGCAAGGATTCCTACTTTTGAGAAACAGTGGATTGGTGTATTTCAGAGGCTGCTCTTAGCTCCTCCCTGCTTAGGGCAGAGGTGGGACCCACAATGAAAGCCTGCTGCCTGGCCGCCCTAGCCCCAGCAGGTATATTGGCTTGGCTCTGGGCTCAGAAGAAATGGGCTGTCTTCCAAGGATGGTAGGTGCCTGCCAGGTTTTCCCCCACTATATTTGTTCCTGCCATACTCCCAGCCCTGAAACCCAGAGTTCCTCATCCTCACCCATCCTTCCCCTGTGTTCTTGGAGATGTGGAAACATGAGATCATGTGAAAGAAGCATTACCCATTAGCAGATAAGGGAGGGTCTGGGAGCAATACTTACCTAATGGCAAAACTTGGAGCAGTGAGCTAAGAAATAAAAGAAAAATATATGGTGAAAACACTGCATGTGACTTTAGTTTGAAACAAGGTCATTAACATCAGGTACGGCTTCCCTGACTTGTCTGTAGTCAGTGGAAGGTGATTTTTGCTTCTATGACCTAACTACCCCCACTTACACATTCGATCCTCCAAACCCAATCTGGCCCTTTTTTTATGAGTTGGGTGTTAAGGTTTCATGATGCTTTCCCATCCTGGTGACTGTAGTCACTTTCAATGCAGGAAGAAATACATGTCAATTTGGATGCATGACCCCCTATTACAGTTTTATTCACAACAAGCTTTTGACATCTGGAGGAGTTTCCCCCATCCAAGAAGGAAAAAGCTGGAGTAAGCACAGAAACTGGAGATGGATGAGAGACAGAATCTGCTCCAAGGCAGCTTTGGTTCCCAGCCCTCCAGGGCAGGAGATGAGCCTTACAGGGCTTTGAACCTGTGTCACTTTGTTCAGAAGAAGATGGCAGGAATCCTGAAGAGAACATCGATGAGTTGCCCCCCATACTTCCAGGAAACCAGCTCAGGGAGACTTTTCCTTTCTGTGTGCCTGGAGCCAAAGCTGCTTCTGGAATTATCCAGATTCCCTCTACTGTTGTCAAACCAATGAGTCCATTTTTGCCCTTTGGAAGCCAGGATGGGTCAAGAGGGGAGACATGAGGCACACGGTATGGCCACAGTCCCCTCCCTCCATCTCCAGAAACCTCTTTACAGCTAGTGGCTCCCAGAGTGGTGAATGTTATGATGGGCTCCATCATGTAACTAATACGAGTTCCTCTCCATTTGAACATCCCCTTGATCCCAAACACAGTCTGAAAGATCAGTCTTCAGAGTCTCCAAGAGCACACATTGCCCTCAGCAGTTGAGGAAGTCCACCTCTGTGCCTGGTCTCAAGGATAGGCACAACCAGCAGGAAAAAAATTCTAAAGGCTTTGCCAGAAGCTTCAGCAAAGATGACGGTCCTGTCGCTGTTTCAAAGGCTTTGCAAGAGAGGGATACCTTTCTTCCTTCTGTGCCAGTGACTTTGCCTCCAGCCTCACCACTGAGCTGGGGATGACTGGACCGTGAGGGAGAGCAATGAGGTAGAGCTATTCATGGGCTGGTCTCTGAGAAAGGGGTGGAAGACTCTGTGGTGTGTGTGGGGGGGTGGGGTTTGGGGGGGATGACCCTGCAGAGTGGGGGTCTTGGGATTCTACTACTCCAAGGGCCAAGATGTCAGGGTCAATGAAAGGAAGCAGCTGTGAAGCAAACCCAGGTCATGTGACATTTTGTGTTCAATCATCACATAGAAGCCACATTATGACAAACCATTTCCCTATCTTCTACAACGACCAAGCTCTTCGAGTTTTCCTGCCATCTTCCGAGTGAGGAAAAATATATTACCTTTTGGTTAAAAGTTTACAAACGTAAGCACATATTTTCTCCCAGCTCCTGATCAGCTTGAAATGCCCACAGTGGTGAGCAGGACCTACCTGCAGAAGTTCTCTACTACCAAGTAGCTCTACCCCTACATGGCAAGCTGTCTTCATCTACGGTAGAATGGCCCTATCAGTAAACTAGCATTCCTTGTGAGATGCTGAGTTTTATGAGTCACCTTGACTAGGTGATAATCCCCAGCTATTCATTTTTTTTTTAAAAGATTTTATTTACTTGACAGACAGAGATCACAAGTAGGCAGAGAGGCAGGCGGAGAGAGAGGAAGAAGCAGGCTCCCCGCGGAGCAGAGAGCCCGATGTGGGACTCGATTCCAGGACCCTGAGATCAAGACCCGAGCCGAAGGCAGCGGCCCAACCCACTGAGCCACCCAGGCGCCCCCCAGCTATTCATTTTTTTAAAGATTTTATTTATTTGTTAGTGAGAGAGAGAGAGAGAAAGCAGGGGGAGGGAAAGAGAGAGAGAAGCAGGCTCCCTGTTGAGAGGGGGATCATGACCTGATCCAAAGGCAGATGCTTAACCAGCCGAGCCACCCAGGTGCCCCAATCCCCAGTTATTCAATCAGCACTAATCTAGGAGTTGCTGGGAAGGTATTTTGTAGATGTGATTAACATCTACAATCAGTACACTGTAAGCGAAGGAGATTATCTTCAATAATCTGAGTGAGCCTAACCTAATCAGCTGGAAGGCCTTAAGAACAAAATTGAGGCTTCCCTGACGAAGAAATTCTGCCTCAGGACTGCAGTTTTAGTTCTCAAAACTTTCTTTTTGTTTTTTTTAAGATTTTTTAAAAAATGTATTTATTTGACAGAGAGAGATCACAAGCAGGCAGGCAGAGAGAGAGAGAGGAGGAAGCAGGCTCCCCGCTGAGCAGGGAGCCCGATGGAGGACTCCATCCCAGGACCCTGAGATCATGACCTGAGCTGAAGGCAGAGGCTTTAACCCACTGAGCCACCCAGGCACCCCATACTTCTTCTCAAAAGTTTCCAACATGATGGCCTGCCCTGTGGATTTCGGGTTTGCCAGTCGTCACAAGTCCATAAGCCAATTACCTGAAGTAAATCTATCTAAGATCTATTATATATTAATAATTATATAATTAATATTTCATAATATATTAATACTATATAATTAATATAATGTAATATATAAATATATGGTTTATTATATATTATACATAATATATAATTAATTTATGTTATCTATTATGTACTGTTATTACATATAATATACAATACATAATATATAATATAATGTATACTATGATATTAGTAGATTATTACTATTAATCTATATATTAATGTATTAATAGATATTAATATATTTATATTAATATTTATACTCTATTATATAGCTATATTGATTGCTATATTA